CTTAGCGCTGCCTGCGCCCGGGACAGCCCCGCCGCGGGCCTCGGAGCGGCCTGAACCGGTCCTGCCGGTTCCGCCGCCCCGCCCGGTTCCTCCGCCGCCTGCTCCGAGCGGCCTCGCCCTCTGCGGGGCGGGCGGACGGGGAGGGCCGGGACAGGCGGTGCCGAGGGCAGCCCCGGGGCAGGAGCCGTGGCGGGGGGCGGGAGAGCGGCGCGGAGCGGTGCGGGGGGCTCGGCCGGGCCCGCGGCTCCGGGCAAGGCCCTGGGGGGGGGGGGGCTCGGAACGGGCTCCAGAGGGGGCTGCGAACGGGACCCGGTAGGGAAGGGGCCCCATAGGGGGTGTGGGTCTGAGCCTATAGGGAAGGGGCTCCATAGGGGTGTGGGTCTGAGCCTATAGGGAAGGGGCCCCATAGGGGGTGTGGGTCTGAGCCTATAGGGAAGGGGCCCCATAGGGGTGTGGGTCTGAGCCTATAGGGGAGGGGGCTCCATAGGGGGTGTGGGTCTGAGCCTATAGGGGAGGGGGCTCCATAGGGGAATGGGTCTGATCCTATAGGGAGGGGCTTCATAGGGGGAGTGGGTTTGATCCTATAGGGGAGGGGGCTCCATAGGGGTCTGGGTTTGATCCTGTCCATGGGGGGGCTCCATAGGGGAAACGGGTTTGATCCTGTCCATGGGGGGGCTCCATAGGGGGCTGGGTTTGATCCTGTCCATGGGGGGCTCCATAGGGGGAATGGGTTTGATCCTGTCCATGGGGGGGCTCCATAGGGGAAACGGGTTTGATCCTGTCCATGGGGGGGCTCCATAGGGGAAACGGGTTTGATCCTGTCCATGGGGGGGCTCCATAGGGGGCTGGACTCAGCCCTTCATTGAGGCCCCCGAGCAGCACTGGAGCCGCCCGTGCCCGCAGGTCACCCCTGAGGATGAGGGGCCACATCCTGCCCGCGCTCTGCCTGGGCCTGGCTGCGGCTCTGCTGCTGCCCATGGCCTGTGCCCGCCGGAGCCAGGACCTGCACTGCGGAGGTGGGAAGGGGTGGGGTGGGATTGATGGGATGGTAGGGATGGGATGGGATGGATGGGGTGGGAAGGGATGGGATGGGATGGATGGGATGGATGGGGTGGGAAGGGATGGGATGGGATGGGGTGGTCGGGATGGGTCCAGGGCCAGGCAGTGCCATTGACTGCGCTGTCCCGCAGCGTGCCGGGCACTGGTGGATGAGCTGGAGTGGGAGATCGCCCAGGTGGATCCCAGGAAAACCATCCAGATGGGCTCGTTCCGGATCAACCCCGACGGCAGCCAGTCCGTGGTGGAGGTGAGCCATGGCCCGGCTGCTCCAAGCCCTGTTCCTGAGCACTGCCAGCGATGGAGCATCCAAACCTCCTCCGTTCAACCCATCCCAGTGCCCCAGCACCCTCACACTGAAGAGCTTCTGCCTTGTATCCAACCTGAACTCCCCCTGTTCCCCTCTGAACCCATCACCCCCTGTCCCATCGCTCCAGTCCTTGCTGCAGGTCCCTCCCCAGCATCCTTGTAGCTCCCTTCAGGCACTGGAAGCTGCTCTCCTCCAGCCCCAGTGTTCCCAGCCTGGCTCCTATGGGAGCTGCTCCAGCCCTGGGCCCATCTGCCCCATTCCAAAGCCTGCTCCCGCTGCCGCAGGTTCCCTACGCCCGCTCCGAGGCGCATCTGACGGAGCTGCTGGAGCGGGTGTGCGAGAAGATGAAGGAATACGGGGAGCAGCTGGACCCGGGCACCCAGCGCAAGAGCTACGTGCGGGTGCTCTCCCGCGACGGCACCAAGCTGGAGCTCTCCGGCGTCACCATCGATGGGGACGTGGCTTCCAGCCTCAAGTTCGCGGTGGGTCCGGGGCTGAGCTTGGCCCCCCCCGGCAGCTCCGTGGGGCTGGAGCCTGCTGCAGGACCCGGCTCTGACCCATAGCGGCTCCCATTGCAGTGCGAGAGCATCGCGGAGGAGTACGAGGATGAACTCATCGAGTTCCTCTCCCACGAGGCCGACAACGTCAAGGACCGGCTCTGCAGCAAGCGCACGGGTGAGCCCTGGGGTCCATTCCCCCCTCCAGAGCACGGTTCAGGCTTCAGGGACACCCCCCCCCCCCAAACCCCCTCACCCCAATGGGGCAGCCCCAGAGCGGCTGGGGCTGGGTTTGGCTGCTGCTCCCCTGGCTGGGTGCCCGCCCGCGGCAGCTCCCTTCCCGCAGGGCTATTTCCAGCTCGCAAACACCGGGGTCAGGCCGTGCCGTAACCTTTGTGCCGCGCTCGGTGCCCGCGGCGTGGTGCTGAGCCCGTGCTCCCGGTGCCATGGTGCTGTCCCTTGGCCCCGCAGACCTGTGTGACCACGCGCTGCACATCCCGCACGATGAACTGTGACCGGGCACGGGCTCCGCGCCACCGCCACGGCCTCTACCTCTTGCTCCACCTCGTCCCCACCGGGAGGCACCGGGGCACACGGCGGCACCGGAGCCGCCGCCGCAGCCTCACCCCCTCCGGTGCTCTTGGCCTGTTTATTGTGCCCGTGTGGAGTGGGGAGCACCGGGGCCGTGGCCCTGCTCCAGCCAGGACATTCCAGTGGGACAACTGCCAGCCATGGACCTGCTGCTGCCGGGGGGGCACCGGGACCGGCTTTGGGCCCCCCCTTCCGTGCTGCTGGCAATAAAGGGGCCGCGCGGTGCCCGTGCCGTGGGCCCAAGTGAGGGCAGGTCCGGCTCCGGTGTGTGCGGGGTGGTGGGGCCGGGAGGCGCTGGTGACAACCACGAGGCCCCACGTGTGTGGGGCCACCGGCCATGGGCTGGCCTTGGGGTGGGGGTGGCTCCTGACAGGCGCTGGTCAGCCCATGGCGCCATGGCACCCGTCACCTGGTGTCACCCATGGCACCCATCGCTGTGTGTCACCCATGGTCCCATGTGTCCCCCATCACCCAGTGTCACCCATGGCACCATGTCACCCATTGCCATGTGTCACCCATGGTCCCATGTGTCCCCCATCACCCAGTGTCACCCATGGTCCCATGTGTCACCCATCACCCAGTGTCACCCATGGCACCATGTCACCCATTGCCATGTGTCACCCATGGTCCCATGTGTCCCCCATCACCCAGTGTCACCCATGGTCCCATGTGTCACTCATGGCACCATGTCACCCATCGCCGTGTGTCACTCATGGTCCCAGGTGTCTCTTATCACCCAGTGTCACCCATGGTCCCATGTGTCCCGCGTCACCCAGTGTCACCCATGGTCCCATGTGTCCCCCATCAGCCAGTGTCACCCCTGGCACCATGTCACCTGGTGTCACCCGTGGTCCCATGTGTCACCCATGGCACCATGTCATCCGGTGTCACCCATGGCACCATGTCACCCGGTGTCACCCATGGCACCATGTCATCCGGTGTCACCCATGGCACCATGTCACCCGGTGTCACCCGGTGTCACCCATGGCACCATGTCACCCGGTGTCACCCATGGCACCATGTCATCCTGTGTCACCCATGGCACCATGTCATGCGGTGTCACCCATGGCACCATGTCACCCGGTGTCACCCGGTGTCACCCATGGCACCATGTCACCCGGTGTCACCCATGGCACCATGTGTCACCCGGTGTCACCCGGTGTCAGCCCTGCTCCGGTGTCACTGTTCCCGTGTCCTTGTGTCACCGTCACCGGGGCAATGTCCTGGGGTCAGCGGGGTCGGTCAGCAGTGGCCACGCCCCCGCGCTGACGTCACCGCAGAGCTGAAGCAATGGCTCCCGGTGACCCCGGGCCCCCGGTGGCCGGCAGCGGGGTGACGTCACGGACCCCCTATGACCTCATAGCACGTGGCCCGGTGCCCGGTGACGTCGCGGGGCCGCCCCCAACACCGCGACCGGAGCGGCCCCGGGATGGGGACGTCGCTCCCGGGGCGGGTGACGCAGCGGTGTGACGTCACGGGGGGTGCCGGCGGTGACGTCACGCGGGAGGGGCGGGGCTCCGCCTCACCCCACCTCAAGGCCACGATCAGGCGAACGCTGCGGACACCTACAGCCGGGGCCCCCCTACCCGCGCCGCCTCATTTGCATAGCCCCGCCCCTCGCCGCGACGACCAGCCAACGGGGAGCGGCTCTGCACCGGGCGGGGCGTGGCGAAGGGCGTGGCTATGCTAATGACCCCCGCGGCGCCGCGCCCCGCCCCGCCCGCCGCTAAGGACCCCCTCGGCCGCCGCCGCCGCCGCCGCCGCCGCTCGCTCCCGGCCCCGCGCCCGCTCCCGGCCCCGCCCCGCCCGGTGCCGCCCGTTCCCGCCATGACGCTCCTCGCCGCCGGTACCCGCGCGGCCGCGCGCCTCCGCGGGCCCAAGGTGAGCGCGCCCGGCCCGGCCGCGCCTTAAACGGGCGATGGGGGGGGGGGGGGGGACACGACACGGGCACGGCACCGGCTCTTAAAGGGGCAATGCGGGGGGGGGGGGGGGGGGCGTGCGCGGCCTTAAAGGGGCCGTTGGAGAGGGGGGACCGCAGCGGCTGCACGTGGTGGGCACCGCGGCCGTTAACGAATGAAAGGGGGGGGGGCACCGGTAGGGCCTCGGGTAGAACTGGGGGGGTCCCTCCCCCCCTCTCCGTTGTCCCCTTCTATTAGAGGGCAGTGGGGTCACGGCCCCACCGGGCCGGGGCTGTGCTGGGGGGGGGGGGGGGGAAGAACCGGACGCCGGTGCCGGGCAGGGCCTGTCCCGGTTCCTCCCCCCCCCCACGTCCGCGTTGGCCGCGGCCCCGCGTTTCGTAACGGGCGCTGCGGTGTCGGTATCGACCGGGCGTTATTTTGGGCCCCGCTGATGCCCCACTTGGCCTCGGTCACGCTTTGGGAGGGGGGGGGGCACCCTCCGGTCCGCGCCGTCATCCCCCTCCCTTCGGCCCCGCTGTCACCGGTGTCACCGGCGCGCTGTGACCTTGAGCCCGCGGCACCTCGGGCCCGGAGCGCTGACACCGGTGCCTGCGGCCGCCTTGACCTTGGGCTTCCCGCTGCCGCCTCCGTTGGTCCTGCCCGTAGCGGGCGGGGGGGGGCCGCGGCGCAGCCACCGGTGTCGGACCCCCCCCCCCCCCCCCCAATCCCTCCCCTCCGTTCCCGTTGTACCGGTACCGGGCCATGGATGCGGCTCCCGGCGGCTGCTGCTTCCCGCCCGCATCCGGGCGGAATCCCCGTGGGTGGAGGAACAAAGCTCGGCTTCCCCGGCCCTGCCGCAGGGAACCGCAGCGCTTCCGCCTTGGCACGGCCCTACCGGTAACACCGGCTCCTGCTCTCCCATAGAACCCCCCGTGCGTCCTCTTGGCCGCCCGCCGCGCCAGCGCCGCCACGGTAAGAGCGGGGGCCCCCGGTGGTGGTGATGTGGGGGGCGGCTCCAGCCCCACCGGTACCGGGTCCTCAGCCCCGCTCCCTGCTCCCCAGAACCTCAAGGATGTCCTGGCCTCCATGATCCCCAAGGAGCAGGCGAAGATCAAGAGCTTCAAGCAGCAGCACGGCAGCACGGCCATCGGCCAGATCACGGTGGATATGGTGAGACCGGAGCGGGGGGGGGGGGGGGCGGGCGGTGGGGGATGCGCCGCACCGGTGTCACCGCAGCCGGTAACACGGGCCCCATGCGCAGGTGTACGGCGGGATGAGGGGCATGAAGGGGCTGATCTACGAGACCTCGGTGCTGGATCCCGATGAGGTAGGGCCGGGTCCTGCCCCGCTCGGTGCCGGCGGCATCGCGGCCCGGGGGGGGCTCACGCTCGCACCGCGCTCCGCAGGGCATCCGCTTCCGCGGGTACAGCATCCCCGAGTGCCAGAAGCTGCTGCCCAAAGCCGCGGGGGGCGAGGAGCCGCTGCCCGAGGGGCTCTTCTGGCTGCTGGTGACCGGGGAGATACCCACGCAGGAGCAGGTACCGCCACGGTGACACCGCGGGCACCGGCGATGCCGGCACCGGCGCCACCGCCGCCGGCTCAGCCCCGCGTCCCCGTTGCAGGTGACCTGGGTGTCTCGGGAATGGGCCCGGCGGGCGGCGCTGCCGTCGCACGTGGTGACCATGCTGGACAACTTCCCCACCAACCTGCACCCCATGTCCCAGCTGAGCGCCGCCATCACCGCGCTCAACAGCGAGAGCAAGTTCGCCCGAGCCTATGGCGAGGGCGTCCATCGCGCCAAGTACTGGGAGGTAATGGGGTGGGGGGGGTGAGGACCCCACCGTGATGGGGTGCCGGGGGTGGGGGGGGGGGGGGAGGTCCTGGTTTCATTGCTCCGCCTCAGTTTGTCTACGAGGACGCCATGGACCTCATTGCGAAGCTGCCGTGCGTGGCCGCCAAGATCTACCGCAACCTGTACCGCGAGGGCAGCAGCATCGGCGCCATCGACCCCAACCTCGACTGGTCCCACAACTTCGCCAACATGCTGGGCTACAGCGAGCCCCAGTTCATCGAGCTCATGCGCCTCTACCTCACCATCCACAGGTGCGGGGCCGGGGGCTATGGGGCGGCGGTGGCATCGCCGTGGCCCCGTGGTGATAAACGGGAGGGGGGGACCTGATGCTGCCTCCTCGGCCCTGCAGTGACCATGAGGGGGGGAACGTGAGCGCCCACACCAGCCACTTGGTCGGCAGCGCCTTGTCCGACCCCTACCTCGCCTTCGCCGCCGCCATGAACGGGCTGGCAGGGCCCCTGCACGGCCTCGCCAATCAGGTGAGCGCTGCCCGCGTGCCCCCCATCCGTCCCGTTGGGCGCGCGGTGCTGAGCCTCCCACCCCGCCCTGCCCCACAGGAGGTGCTGCTCTGGCTGACGGACCTGCAGAAGGAGCTGGGCAAGGAGGTGTCGGATGAGAAGCTGCGGGAGTTCATCTGGAACACGCTCAACTCGGGCAGGGTGAGCCCAGCGCCGCGGGGTGAGCTCAGCGCCAGGGCACGGAGCCGCTGGAGCGCGGCCAGAGGAGGCCACGAGGACGAGCAGGGGCTGGAGCGGCTCCCATAGGAGCTGCGTTGGGGAAGAGCAGCTTCCAGTGGCTGAAGGGGGGCTACAGGGATGCTGGAGCCATGGGGCAAGGGGTGATGGAGCAATGGGTGATGGACTGGGATGGGTTGGATGGAGGAGGTTGGGATGCTCCATCCCCGACTGTGCTCAAGGCCAGCCCTGGAGCATCCGGGTGCAGCGGCGGTGATGGAGCAATGGGTGATGGAGCAATGGGTGATGGAGCAATGGGTGACGGACTGGGATGGGTTGGGTGGTGGAGGTGGGGATGCTCCATCCCAGCCCATGCTCAAGGCCAGCCCTGGAGCATCCGGGTGCAGCGGAGGTGATGGAGCAATGGGTGATGGACTGGGATGGGTTGGATGGTGGAGGTGGGGATGCTCCATCCCAGGTCATGCTCAAGTCCAGCCCTGGAGCATCCTGGTGCAACGGAGGTGATGGAGCAATGGGTGAAGGACTGGGGTGGGTTGGGTGGTGGAGGTGGGGATGCTCCATCCCAGCCCATGCTCAAGGCCAGCCCTGGAGCATCCTGGTGCAGCGGAAGCGATGGAGCAATGGGTGATGGAGCAATGGGTGATGGAGCAATGGGTGAAGGACTGGGATGGGTTGGGTGGTGGAGGTGGGGATGCTCCATCCCAGCCCGTGCTCAAGGCCAGCCCTGGAGCATTGGGTGCAGCGGAAGGGGCTGAGCTCTGGGCCCGGCTCCGTGCAGGTGGTGCCGGGCTACGGGCACGCGGTGCTGCGCAAGACGGACCCGCGCTACAGCTGCCAGCGGGAGTTCGCGCTCAAGCACCTGCCCCAGGACCCCCTCTTCAAGCTGGTGGCGCAGCTCTACAAGATCGTCCCCAACGTGCTCCTGGAGCAGGGCAAGGCCAAGAACCCCTGGCCCAACGTGGACGCCCACAGCGGGGTCCTGCTGCAGGTGAGCCCAGCGCGGGGCCGAGAGCTCCCGGCTGCCCCATGGCACTGACCCCATTGCTGCCCCATGGCACTGACCCTATTGCTGCTTCCTTGCTGACCCCATTGCTGCCCCATGGCACTGACCCCATTGCTGCTTCCTTGCTGACCCCATTCCTGCCCCATGGCACTGACCCCATTGCTGCTTCCTTGCTGACCCCATTGCTGCCCCATGGCACTGACACCGTTGCTACCCAATTGTGTTGCCCCATTGCTGCCCCATTGTGCTGACCCCATTGCTACCCCATAGCACTGACCCCATTGCTGCCCCATAGCACTGACCCCATTGCTGCCCCATTGCATTGACACCATTGCACTGACCCCATTGCTGCCCCATGGCTCTGATCCCTTTGCTGCCCCATGGCACTGACCCCATTGCTGCCCCATGGCTCTGATCTCTTTGCTGCCCCATGGCATTGACCCCATTGCTGACCCCATTCTCGCCCCATGGCTCTGATCCCATTGCTGCCCCATGGCACTGACCCCATTGCTGCCCCCATTTCTGCCCCATGGCTCTGATCCCATTGCTGCCCCATTGCTGCTCCATTATTACGCCATTACTGCCCCATTGTGTTGACCCATTGCTGTACTATTGCGCTGACCCCACTGCTGCCCCATTGCCCTGATCCCATTGCTGCCCCATTGCGCTGACCCCATTGCGCTGACCCCATTGCTGCCCCATTGTGTTGACCCATTGCTGTCCTATTGCGCTGACCCCACTGCTGCCCCACTGCCCTGATCCCATTGCTGCCCCATTGTGCTGACCCCATTGCGCTGACCCCATTGCTGCCCCATTGCGCTGACCCCATTGCGCTGACCCCATTGTGCTGACCCCATTGCGCTGACCCCATTGCTGCCCCATTGTGCTGACCCATTGCTGTCCTATTGCGCTGACCCCACTGCTGCCCCATTGCCCTGATCCCATTGCTGCCCCATTGTGCTGACCCATTGCTGTCCTATTGCCCTGATCCCATTGCTGCCCCATTGCGCTGACCCCATTGCTGCCCCATTGCCTCCCCGTTGCCGCCCCATTGCCACGGCGCTGACGCCCGCTCCCCGCAGTACTACGGCCTCAAGGAGATGAATTACTACACGGTGCTGTTCGGCGTCTCGCGGGCGCTGGGCGTCCTCTCGCAGCTCATCTGGAGCCGGGCGCTGGGGTTCCCCTTGGAGCGCCCCAAGTCCATGAGCACCAAGGGGCTCATGCAGCTCGTGGGCTACAAAGCGGGGTAGGGCCGGGCCGGGGCCGCGGCTCCGCAGGGAACGCTGCCGGGATGGGCCCGGGATGGACTCAGCACTGAACCCCCCCCCCCCAACCATGGGTCCCCCCCTTGCTCCTGTCCCCTCTGATGGAGGGGGGGGGCAGAGGCAGCCCCGCACACACTGGGACCCCCCCCCCTTTGGCTGCTGCGCTGGGGGGTGGGGGGGTGGCACCAACGTTGGGGTCCCCCCCCCCGTCCTCCCCATTGAGAGGGTTCAGTCCAGCCTCTGTCCCAGCGCCCCCCCGGGGGCAGCAGAATGAATGTGCCCCCCCCCCCCCCACGCAGGGACTCGAAACACTCCTCCCCCCCCCCGGCTGCGCCCTGTGTTTGTGTGACCCCCCCCTCCCCCCCCCCACCAACCACTGTGTCTGATGCCCCTCCCCCCCCCCGCCCCCCCCCCCCTCCCCCCCCAGCCACTTCTGTACAAACAACGAGAAAATGCAAAATAAATGTTTTTATTAACAAATCCCAGTGGGATTTGGGGGGGTGGGGGGGGGAGATGGCGATGGGGGGAGGGGAAAGATGCGGTGTCCGCCCACCCCCCCCCCATCTCCCCAATGAGGACCACGAGGCTGCTCTCACCCTTGGGATAAGTCTTTATTGCCCCCCACCCCCAAAGCCACCCCTATGGGGGTGCTGGAGGAGAGGGAAAGGTGATGGGGGAGGGTGGGGGTGCAGCGTGAGGCCCCCCCCCCCCTCCCCCCCAACCCTGTGCGTGTGCCTTGTGCAAACTGCGCCGTGGGGCCGGGTCCCTCCTGCGCCCGGCTCCTGCCCTATGGCTCCTGGAGAGGGAGGAAGGAAGGGTCCTACCCCCGTGTGCCCCCCCCAAACCCCTTCCATAGCGACCCCCCCCCCCCGGGAGCTAAAAATGAACCAAAAAGGGGGTCAAAACCAATGCAATCAAGCCCAAAACGGGACTAAAACCACTTAAAACCAAAGGAGTCCAGCGCCGGCTCTGCCGTGGGGCCAGGGGGGCTCTCAGCATCCCCCCCCCCCACATCGGGATGGGGGTGATGCAGCAGTGCCCATATAAATAGCTTGGGGGGGGGTCCAGTCCCAGTCCGTGCCCCGGGGCCGCCCTCACGTCTGATGGACCTCGTGGCACATGAGCTCCCGCGGGATGCGCGTCTCGGGCCCGAAGCTGGCGGCCGCGCGGCGCTCGAAGGCGGCCACCATCTGCTTGACCACCTCGTCGAAGAACACGGTGGCCAATTGGGAGTGCAGGAGGGAGCGGAACTCGAAGGAGATCTTGGGATGGGGGGGGAAGGGGATGGGGTTTAGTGTTTTGGGGTGTGGGAGGGGGTCAGGATTCATCAGCCCCCCCTCATCCATCACCTCACCGAGAAGTCCACGGTGCTGGTGCGCGGGTAGCCGGGGATGCCGGGGCTGAAGCGCCAATTGGTCTCCAAGTGGTTGAAGAGCTTCCCATCGGTGCAAACAGCCTGAGGCGGGGGCACAAAGAGGGGGGGTTCAATAGGGGGAACCCCCCCCCGCCATCCCCATAGCGCCGGGGGCTCACCTTGACGAGGTGCGGGCGCACCAGGGTGACGCTGGACGTGTAGCGCTCGAGCACCGGGGGGAAGCCGACCTCGAGCTGGGCCTTGAGGTGCCCCGCGCGCCGCGCCAGCACCACCGAGCGCTTGCACCAGGGCACAAAGTGCTTGTAGTCCTCCACGTTGGCCACCACGGCGTACATCTCCTGCATGGAGTACCTGCGGGGTGGGGGGGGTGAGCTGGGGGGGCATGGGGTGGTCGTCACCCATCGCAAAGGGGTGGGTGTTGAACCATGGGGGGCACTGAGGCCAAGGGGTGGTCGTCACCCATCGCAAAGGGGTGGGTGTTGAACCATGGGGGGCATTGAGGACAAGGGGGGGGCACTGAGGGCAAGGGGTGGTCGTCACCCATCGCAAAGGGGTGGGTGTTGAACCATGGTGGCCATTGAGGACAAGGGATGGGCACCAAAGTCAAGGGTGGGCATTGAGAGCAAGGGGGGGGCCCTGAGGCCAAGGGGTGGTCGTCACCCATCACAAAGGGGTGGGTGTTGAACCATGGGGGGCATTGAGGCCAAGGGGTGGGCACCAAAGTCAAGGGTGGGCATTGAGGCCAAGGGGGGGGCCCTGAGGCCAAGGGGTGGTCGTCACCCATCACAAAGGGGTGGGTGTTGAACCATGGTGGGCACTGAGGCCAAGGGATGGGTGTTGAGGCCAAGGGGTGGTCGTCACCCATCACAAAGGGGGGGCAACGCAAGGTGGTGAGGCCAAGGGGTGGTCATCACCCAGCGCCAGCGGGTGGGTGTTAAGACCAGGGGTGCTCATCACCCATCCCAAAGTGATGGGATACCGGGTGCCAAAGCCTAGCGATGGGTGTTGAAGCCAAGGGGTGGGCATCACCCAGTGCAAAGGGATGGGTGCTGAACCATGGTGCTCATTGAGGCCAAGGGGTGCTCACTGAGGCCAAGGGGTGCTCATTGAGGCCAAGGGGTGCTCACTGAGGCCAAGGGGTGCTCACTGAGGCCAAGGGGTGCTCACTGAGGCCAAGGGGTGCTCATTGAGGCCAAGGGGTGCTCACTGAGGCCAAGGGGTGGCTGTCACCCATCACGAGGGGGGGACACGGGCTGTTGGAGCTCCCCGTACCCTATGATTCGCCGCTCCGAGTACTCCTTCCTCTTGGTGCTGAGGTTCAGGAAGCACCGCACGGGCTGGAGCCGCGGGTCCCATTCGGCACTGGGCAGCACCCGGAGGCCGCTCAGCGCCGCGGGGCTGGAGGGGGGAAACGGGGCCGTCACCGGGAGCCCCTTCCCGGCCCCATCCCGGCCCCATCCCGGTCCCATCCCGGTCCCTTCCCGGTCCCATCTCAGCCCCACCCCGGCCCCATCCCGGTCCCATCTCAGCCCCATCCCAGTCCAATCTCAGCCCCTTCCC